GGAACGGGGAACGGGGAACGGGGAAGGGGAGTCTTTAAAATGGGGAATCTTTAAAACGGGGATTCTTTAAAAGCGGGAATCTCTAAAATGGGGAATCTTTAAAAGCAGGAATCTTTAAAAACGGGGAATCTTTAAAAGCGGGAATCTTTAAAACGGGGAATCTTTTTTAAGCGGGAATCTCTAAAAGCGGGTGATTTCTTGACAACCACTGTTTCGACTTTCCGGGTCGAATCGTCGTCCTTGTTCCTGGTTTTTGTGATAAAAACGGCTCCAAACGACCCTATCACATCTTGTTCGCCGAGATCATTCCACTTAAACTGCGGAAGACCTTCAAAACGACCGATTCTTTCTTCTTTAAAGTGAATGCAACGGGCACTTTGAAATTGTCTTCGCATGGCGTAGAAAGAGTGATTATACGCGAAATTCCCGCCAAAATCTCAAACGACCGACAGATGAGAGTTTCTAAGTCAGATAGCCTATAGTATTGTCATGGAATAGTAAATTCTCCTCAACTCTTAACTTAAAAAGTAAGCTAATACAAATTACGTCACAGAACACCGCCGCCACATCGTTCGGGCATCTAATTACTGTATTGCTGGTTTCAGTGCCACGTCATTCAAAATAGATCAAAATAAAACTCAAAACAGTTCGATAGATTAAGTCCAGAATCTCGAAAAGAAGGGTAAATACGCAAAGACTCTCGTCAAGAGTCAGGACAACGTATTATTGAATTTGAAATGAACGAAAATCATCGTTAAAACATTTTCTTAATATTTTTTATTTTCTAAACATCCCAAAGTATATCAGGATATTTGTGGAAAGGCCTAGATTAGGCTGAAGGCGGGAGATGACTGATATTTCAGGCTAGCTTCCGCCTAACTTGATGCTTCGACAGTGACATCGACTGCACAGTCCTTACTTAATAGTCCTTAATGGAATGGTTATTGGTGCCATTTTCATCGATCTTACAAAGGCTTTTGATACAATCAACCACTCCGTACTATTGTATAAGTTGAACAGTGTTGATGGATTGCATTACTCTGTAGCCTAGAAATGGTTGCAGTCATATCTCTCCAACCGAAGTCAGGTTACAGTCTGCAACAAAAGTAAATCGGATCAAGCAATCGTACCAATTGGAGTACCACAAGGCTCAATCTTCCTTCCACTGCTGTTTACTGTGTATATCACTGACTTACCAGACCTACTGGAACACTGTGCTGAACTATGTTAAACAATGAGAGACCGTTGCTCGTTTTCGTAAATGCTTTAGCGCTATAGCGGAAATTAAAGGGTGTACTTGTAACTCCTGCTTGTAAATCTCTCTTTAAGGTTACAGTACACCTTCAGGGGTGTCTCGCGTGCAAGCGATGTAGCGCGTGCAGTTTAAGACTGATGTTGATACCTAAACCCCTATATCAAATTAAATCTTATAAAGCTGGCTATCAACTTATACCAAGAATTTTGAAATAAATTGAATTGTCGA